TTGTAAGTTTGAATTGTATATGTATATATAGTGTATGGATATTAATTTAAAAGTATTTGTATTATTTTCATTTGGCACTAAACAGTGAGGTATAATTTGTGATACTCTTTTTTGGTTTTTGTTTTAGTGTATTGTGCTGGTTCTCTGTGTATAATAGCTGTTTTATTACTTTTATGCACACCCCTATGTGTTTCTCATTGCACAGTTAGCAAAAATGCTAAGAATATGTGACATGAAATAAAAAGAACACCATCATATTGTCCTAGAAACAGATGCAGTTGAAACCTTTAAAAATGTTTATATCATAACCAAATTTAGTAATTTAACTTTTTCCCCAGTTCCCCAGCCTTATATGAATACAGTTACTCCACAACAGCAGATTCCCCAGCAAGGCCTAGCCCCAAGGGCTCAATATGGACCTCAGTCTACCATCAGTGTTGGCCAGCCACCACAGCCAGTAGCTGTTCCTTATGAAAGTTATCAAACTCAACAGCAATACAGTCAACAACAACCAGCAGGAAAAGGATCAGCTATTGTTCACCAACCTCAGTTTCAACCAGGTGCTCCTCAGTATGACTCCACTCCACAACCTGGTCAAGCCTACCCACCACAACAATATACTACTTCTTACTCTCCTGGAACATCCCAACCACCTGGTGCTAATCCTTACTCTCGAGGACCTCAGAGTGGTTACCCCCGACCTGTACAAGCTTATCAACAAGGTTACCAGTAGTAAAAACTAAAGATTAAAACATTATGCAGGTTGTTGCTCTTTTGAGAGAAAAATGGTTAAAGTGATTATTTGTACACATTCAGATCATATGGATATGATGTTCAATATCTATTTCTGAATTAGATAGTGTAACTAAAACATATTCATAATTAAACTATACTAAAGAAGGAAGCCTTTTTTTTCTATGGTCATAAAGAACAATCTAGTAATCTATTTTTTGTTTAGTGGTATTCAGTATAAAAATGCATTATGTATTTCTTGCAAGAAATTCAATGATATTTTAAGTTGAGGTCTAATTTGTATCGGTCTTGTAGGCCAACTTAAGATTAGTATTCAAATATTGTGTTAAGCATGTTATGATATCAATGTACCTACTGATGTTTTATATCAGTACTGCTTTTGAACTGTATTAATAATGCTATTGTAAAATTTCAATTCCCGCGTCAAGGTTGTGTATAAAGAAGTAGCGAACTCTATAAAATATATTTAAATCAAAGCTAATTATCGGCAGTGCTTAAAACAGAAGAAAGCATAAAACACTAAAATATCTTGTTAAGCAGTTTTATCCCAAGGTGTTTTTTCTACTGTGGATTTGTACAGAAATGAAGAAAACACTGATCGGCTTCTTTTAGTGACACTTAAAGAATTAGTAGTGTTATTGTAGAAATAAGCATAAAAAAGAATACACACACATAAAAAAAAAGATAATTTTGACAAAAGCACTTGAACTGAATATTACTTTGTTACAATAGTTTTGAACATACTTTATTTCACCGAAACTAAATAATGTATCATCATCGGGTGTTTTTGAATAGTGTATGTAATGTTAAGGTGCTCACAACAGCCCCCAGTAGCAGAGCGATATGTCTGCGGACTTATAACGCTAAAATCTGGAGTTCGATTCCCCGTGGTGCACACCGCCGATAGCCCATTTTGTTTTTGCTCTAAAATAACGAAACCCAATCCTGCTAGCATGTAGGCTGAGTAAGTGAGGAATGTAGCAAAGTAAGTTTTAGCAAAAATGTTTGATAAGAGTATATGCAACTGACAATAATGTTAAGAATAACAAAGTAATATTGACAGTATTTTAAAAATGTTTGATTAGAGTATATGCAACTGACAATAATATTAAGAAGAACTAAATAATATTGACAGTATTTTAAAAATGTTTGATTAGAGTATATGCAACTGACAATAATGTTAAGAATAACTAAATAATATTGACAGTATTTTAAAAATGTTTGATAAGAGTATATGCAACTGACAATAATGTTAAGAATAACTAAATAATATTGACAGTATTTTGAAAGACAGTTTTATATTGAAAGTTATCTATAGTATAAAACTGAGTTTTACTGACAAAAATAGTAATTCTGGTCACTGATAAACTCTAGAAAGTACATTCTGAAAATGGAGTGCGTGGTGTTATGAATGGCCTTTTGAGATGATATTACATAGCAATGACATTACTTTTAAAATTAAGTTTTAAATGACATTTTATATTAACGATATAAGTTGAAAGTGAAGTTTGTCGTGTTACTTATAGTCTATTGAAAGGACAGTTTGTTTTAATGACATTAGTTTGAAAACGGAGTTTATCCTGTTACTTATAGTATTTTGATAGGACATTACGTATTAATGGCATTAGTTTGAAAATCGTTCTCATGTTAATTTTAGTATTTTGATAGGACATTACGTATTAATGACATTAGTTTTAAAATCGTTCTCATGTTAATTTTAGTATTTTGTTAGGACATTACGTATTAATGACATTAGTTTGAAAATCGTTGTTGTCTTATACAGTGCTTTGAAAGTACATTACGTGCTAATGATACAAGTTTGAAAATTTAGTTTTTCGTTTAGTATACTGATGTTCTTTTGATAGAACATTATGTATTAATGGCATTAGTTTGAAAGTGGATTGTAAATAATAAATGTATGTCTTCACATACTTCGTTTACTATCGAATAAGCGGTTATTGAATTGAAAATATAAATTAGAAATTTGACCACAAGATAATTCAGAAACTAGCATAGAGAATGAAATGGTGATTATTTGTAAAACATGACACAGCTTGACATTTAGTGGGTATTGTAAAACATGACACAGCTTGACATTTAGTGGGTATTCGTAAAACATGACACAGCTTGACATTTAGTGGGTATTGTAAAACATGACACAGCTTGACATTTAGTGGGTATTTGTAAAACATGACACAGCTTGACATTTATTCCCACAGTTGAAGAAAATGAAAATCATTATTCAGTCCAGAGTAGGTGGCGTGTCTACTGAGCTTAAAGACTGCTTTAGCAACATCATTGATACTGTCAAGAACAAATGGTCGCTGATAGGGATGAATATTCTGAAGAGCAAAGGTAAGAAATCGACAAGTGTCCTCTACATTAGGAGGAGGAAAAACTAAGTTTGATGAAGGCATTATTGGGTTAGGGGTGCTGATTGGAGCTATTGTGATGGCAAGTATTACAAACTGGAGGCAATTCCAACTGAGTCCATTCACAGGCGAAATATGGACCCCTGCAATGTAGTCAAACAGGTGAGTAGGTGCATTTGGATGAGAGTCGTAACACAAGCATTTTTGACAGAAGCTCAGCTCTCCCTCTCTCAAGAAACCACCACCACCTAACGACCTCCACTGCTTTCACTGTTAATCACTGAAAATAACATTATCTCTGAATTACTGAAGAATAAAATCACGGTTTACTGAGATATCAGGATTAAAAATGCTTTAGGTCTGACCTATCTGTCTTGCAAACTTTTTAAAAGTAGCGATGGTATTGACCACCTATTTCACCACGGTGCCTACATCTTGTGCCACAGTCATCGGGATGAACCTTCTCGAAGGCCTCCTCCTCAACCATTGCGCTTTAGTTTGGTAGCTCGAGGTAAAGAACTGAAATTACAAGATAAAGAGATAAAAGTAAAAAACAAATAAATAGAAGGTTATTTGAGTTGGTCATTGAATGGTTGATTTTCACATTAATTTTTCTTGTGTTTTTTCCCTTTGTTTTTATAATATTTTTCACTGTATCAAAATTAGCTGTAATTAATCATTAAGTTGCCTCTTTAATTGTAAAGATTTTCTGGGAGACCATGCTTCCAAAACCCCACCCATCTAATCTGTATTGTTTCCGCTTTTCTTGGTTTGGCTCACTTTCAACGTTGGCGTCTCCCACACAGTTGCTTCCGACTCCCATGTCTAACATAACATTAACTGAAAATAAAGCTCCAATTAACTACATTTTAATCAACATAACACATTAACTAAAAGCTAAATGCTGGAATTAGTTAAGCATTAACTAAGAGAAAAATATATTTACTATGACACGTGAATTAAAAGCTAAAAGTTTTACTGGAATGACTTCCTTGATTTTCGCGTAATATATCTTTTACTAATGTAGTCCTCTCGCGTTGATACTGTGGCCTCTTGTCCCGCTCCTGGATCAACAATACTAAGTTACTGGTTCTCCACTTTTAATTTATGAGCAGGTTAATTCAAGAAAATAATAATTCATAACATATGGAATTAAAATAAATAATTTAGTGTTAAAAAATCCTTACCACAATTCTGAATTGTTGTGACTTAAATGAAAATCGAAAAAAAAAATACATTTCTCCAACTTAATCCATTTCACACCGACACAACTGATTTTCAAACAGTTTGATAATATAAATCGTCTCAATCACGTTTATAGGGACTATGACTTGACTTTTATAGGTCTGCGATTCCTCGTGCGCTTGGATAGCTATTTGTTCTTCAGGTTATTGACCTTTGTGGGGTTATATTTCTTGATCTCTTGTTTACTCGTTTATTTTACATTAGTTATATGTTTGCTAATTTATTGTGCTGTGTGTTGGTCTCCATGCACTCCAGGCTATCCCCCACGGTAGAATGCTTAGGGGGTGACTGAGGTGATTCTCTTTTTTATCTTTTCGTCGCCGTCTCAAGTCATATTATTGACTTGACTTCCACTCCAAACTCTCTCGTTCGTCTCGTCATCACTGTGCTGATATGGACTCTTCCTACCACCACATCATCTACCACTCCAACTGTTATGCCTTCTGTCTTCCGGTGGGACAGCGGTAAGTTCACGGACTTACAACGCTAAAATACAGGGTTAGATTCTCCACGGTAACCATGGCACTGTGGCTTTGTTCTAAAACAAAGAAATTAACCTTTGCCTAGCCGTCCTCGGAAATATGTCCGTTTAGATAACTATTCTATTTCGCCAATTTTTGTGTTTCTCGTTTCCCACATGATTCCTCAACTTTACTTTATTCGGGCACTTTACCTAGAACTTATCTTATCAACTTATCCCGACCCGTAATGGAGTGATCGTCTAGGCTTACAACAATAAACTTTATAAATCCTTTGTCATCAAATGGGCCTGTTAAACCTGGGTCCAAACACCATCCTTCTTTTACAACTCGTTATGAGGTTACATATATTCGGAATACTAGTAAACTAACACAAAAATATTTGCTAAATACTATTAAAAAGAAACAATGAAAGATTTTCTTCGATCTACCACTTATAAACTTTCATATTGTAAACTTAATTTTTGTTTATGTACACTGCAGGACTCAATGTGATAAGCATGGGTTTGTTTTTGTACTATTTGTTGATAAGTTGATGTGATGACTGTTGACCAGTTCTCTTACATTCAACGTTCTCGTCATCAGTAAATACACAACATAGTTGTACACCTCTACAATTTTCACAAACTTTCCGTTAAGACCATTCGGAAGCTATACTATATTTTTTATAACTTTCATTAACAGTTGTGGTTTATGTGTTCCTTAAGGAAGCTATACTATATTTGTTGTAACTTTCATTAACCTAATAACTGCGGATGACGGATATTTCCGTCATTGAAGTTCTATGGCTCAGCTGCATATGACGGAAATATCCTTCAGTCGCACATATATAACTATAACTCTATGCAAATGACGATAATTACCGTTTTATTGTGATTGATGGCAACTCAGTTTTATCTGTGAGACAGAAAACGGCAACTGAGATGCTCCTGCAGCAGTTAACGGGTTAACAGTTGTGGTTTAC